TCAGATGACCCCAACCACATGCCTATCCTGCCTTCTCTTAAAGACACCCAAGGTAGGGGAGAGCACCACCTCCCTTGGAAGCCCATTCCAAATTTTGGCCACCCTTACCATAAAGAAGTTTTTCCTGATATCTAGCTTAAATCTGCTCTCTGTCAGTTTGTGACCATTGTTCCTTGTTACCCCAAGAGGCACCCTGGTGAACAGAGCATCTCTGTTCCCTTGCTGCGCACCCTAATGAATTTGTAGGTGGCCACAAGATTATCTCTCAGCCTTCTTGTGCAGAGGCTGACGAGGTCCAGGTCCCTCGGTCTCTCCTCATAGGACTTGTCCTGTAAGCCCCTAACCATACGAGTGGCCCTCGTGTGGACACTCTCGAGTCTATCAACATCCTTCTTGAAGTGCGGCGCCCAAAACTGGACGCAGTACTCTAACTGTGGTCTGACCAATGCCGCACACTGGGGAAGTATCACCTCCTTGGATCTATTTGTCATGCATCTGCTGATTCATGATAAAGTGCAGTTAGCTTTGCTGATGATTTTGTCACACTGGCAACTCATGTTCATCTTGGAGTCCACTATGACTGAGATCCCTTTCTGCTTCTGTGCTGCTGAGAGGGTCACTTCCCAGCCAGTAGGTGTGCTGGATATTTTTGCACCCTAGGTGCAGCACTCTGCACTTGTCCTTGTTGTACTACATCCTATTGTGTATTGCCCGCTTTTCTAACCTGCCCAGGTCTATCTGCAATCGTTCCGTACCCTTTGGAGAGTGCACTTCACCCCATAATTTAGTATCGTCTGCAAACTTGGACAGAGTACACTTCACACCCAAATCCAAGTCACTGATGAAGATACTGAAGAGTACAGGTCCAAGGACCAAACCCTGCAGGACCCCACTACCCACATCCTTCCAGGTCAATACCAGCCTGTTTAATACCACTCTCTGAGTGCGACTGCTAAGCCAATTTGCCACCCACCGGACCATGTAAACATCTATGTCACAGCCTCTCAATTTATTTATGAGAATAAAAAAAAAATTAAGACTCAGCCTGAGCACAGGTGCAGGGAAGTAGCAGACAGCTATGGGCAGAGGAGTCACTACTTTGCAGAGATGAGGGACCCAGAATGTAGAAAGTGAGTGAGATGGGGGCCCTCACATGGGACTTTGCATTGGACTCTGCAGAACCCAGGACTGGGCTTTGCTTGAGGGAGCTTGGCCTGCAGGCACCTGGTATCAGATGTGATACAAAGTGTAACAGGGGGCTTTCCTGGGGCCAGTCTGCCATTGGCCCACCCACCTGTTCTGGGCCAACCGCCCACCTCCTCACCTGCTATGCCTTGTTGTTTCTTAATTGGTTGTAATAAGGTGGGAGGCCAGGTTATTAAGAAATATATGAGAAGAAGAAATATATGGGCAAGTACAGAGTGAGGGATGACTGGCTTGGCAGTAGCATTACTGTGAAGGATCTTGTAGTTATGGTGGATTGTAAATCAATGTGAGTCAGCAGTGTAATGCTGCTACTGCTGCTGCAACTGCTGCAAACAAAAAGAAAAAGAAAGACAGAGAGAGAAAGAAAGCTAGTGCACTTTTGCATCATGTGCAAGACACAAGAGGTGATAATACCATTCTGCTCTGTGCTGGTTAGTCTTCAGCTGAAGTACCATGTCCTGTTTCAACACCATATCATTAAAAGGATGTAAAGAAACTGGAAATGGACCAGGCAAGTGACAAAGATGATAAAAGGATTGGAAAGCAAGTCATATGAGGTTAAGGTTGAAGGAACTAGGTATGTTTAGTTTGCAAAAAAAAGAGATTAAAGGCCAGTGTGATAGCAGTTTTCAAATATTTGAAAGTTTGCCATTAAGCAAATGGAGAAGCATTTTTCTCCCTTGCCACTGAAGACAGACCATGAAGCAGTGACTTTAATTCCTGAATAATAGGTTTAGATTGAAACTGAAGGAAAAATGTGTAAGAACAGAGGTCCAAATTGCCTAGGAAATTATGGAAGCACCTTCATTGAGGGTTCGCAAGAAGTTGCTAGGTAAACTTCTATATGGGTTGGATTTAGAACAGCAAATCCTGCATTCGTACAGGGAATTGGACTAGAAGACCTTGAAAGTCCCTGCCAAACCCATGATTCTATGTGGAGGTGATATGATCATTTGTATATATTTAGAATCATGTATACAGAAGAGCCTAAGATTTGTGCACATAATTCACTTGTATTTGGCCTGAAAGTACCAGAAGAATTTGTTCATTGCTATCCCACACATATAATTGTTGTGCTGTCCTGAATATGATTCAGTATCAAATGATATTGCCCTGTTTTCTCCTTTTGAGAAGGCACAAAAATCCTGCAAAGAAATTTATTCAGAGAACTAGATTCTTATATAATTTCCCTGTCTCATGGGAATAGAGTAGTGTACAGAATAGAAGAGCATAATTTGAAAACCCAGGTTTAATTTTTACGTCTACAAGTTTTCTTCAGGTTCCTTTTTAAATACTGTGTTTTTGGTATCATAACTGTCCCAGGGGCATAGGACCAGAAAAGGGGGAAGCCTCATTCAGAGGCAAACCCCAAACCAAGGTGAAAGAAAGAAAAAACATACCTGTTGCAGGGGTCTGGAGGAGCGAGGAAGCGTGCGGTGGAAAACCGCCCGTGCGGTTCATCAACCACGCCCATATCCAGCCGGGGCCCGGTGACGTCACAAAGAGATGCCACCCAGTGAAGATAAGAAGCAGTCTCGAAGGCGCGGGAAGCGGGATGCTGAGGACTGGAGGAGCAGTGGGAGAGAGTGTCCAGGTCGGCAGTGGCGGTGGCAGCGACGACCGGAGCTGTGAGGGATCCCCGAGCCAGGGAACACCAGCAGGGATCAAAAGAGCTGGCAGGAAGACTGGCAGTGGCGGCAACAGCTGAAGCTGTAAGGAATCTCCGAGCCGGAGAAGGCGGGTGCGGACTGAAGGAACCGGCAGGGAGGCCGGCAGAGGCTGAGGCAGCAGAAGCTGCGAGGGATTCACGTGCTGGAGAAGACTGGCGCAGAATCTACGGAACCACCGGAGAAGTTAGTAGCAGCTACAGCGAAAGTTGGCATGGGAGCTCCTTTCAAAGGCAATGGGTGCCGTGGCCCCAGGGTGGAGGCGGATCCTGGAGGGAAGGGGAGAGAGAACCCAGTTGGAGTGAAGGCATGGACCCCGACCCAGAGGGCGCGCTAGCCTAGGGGCGTTAGGGGCTAGAAGAATATGGGGCTCTGCTTGTGGGTGTTCCTCTTCTTTTTTGTTTTCCCTTTTGTTGTGCCCCCCCTGGTAGTTGCATTATCAGTTTCATTATTTTGGTTCATGTCAGGTCACTTTAGGGCAAGGGGTTTATGGTGAGAGTATTGATTGTGTTCTCCTTTGAGGATTTGTCTCGTTCAGCTCCCCGGCAAGAGCAGACTAGCGGAGCTCTTAGCACCAAGTTAGGGTGGCCAGGACTTCGTCTGAGGGTGAGAAAGGAACCATGTGAGAACGCAGTGAGGGCCAGCGGCATCAGACATAGAAGGCCCAGGGCGTCGAAGAAGACAAGCCCAAAGGCCAAGAATCATCAGACCCTCCGGGTCCGGCCAGGGCCCAGGGTGCTCGTTTGCAAGAGGAGACGCGGAGACCGGGGAGGATATCAGCAGGGGATAGCCACAAAGGATTCAGAGGCCCGTCTCAAAGATTGGCACATGATCGGGGTATAGGGGAGGTTGGAGCCCCGTGAATGTCTGCCAGGACGCATGACTGCTCTGGAGGCACCCTCGAAGGGGATCCCCTCCACTGAAGGACCATTCAAAGTTGTGGCAGGCAAGTTTGGGGGTCACCCTGAAGGTAGCCAAGGTACCCTCTGGGGTTTGCACGAAGGTCCCTGGTGAGCAAGGTCAGCAGCTCGGGCAAAGGCGACGCGAGAGTGAACCAACGAGAGGAGGCAGGCACAATAACCTATGTGAAAAGGAGCTAAATAATGGTCAAAGCAATTTTAATACTTGTTGTATCTGTATTTATAAAAATGCTTTGACTGCAGGGCAGTAATATGATAGCTAACCAAACATGACATCCTGATATGTGTTTGAGTACTGTACTGTGACCCATTTAATGTAAAATAACAGTGTGCTATTTATTGCAGGATGATGTTATGATGCCACAGAGAATTAGATTGCAGTACGAAGCTGCCATTCAGCATCCAAACAGTGTGAGTACTTTTTCTTTCTCACGTGTGTCTATTTTTCCTTTAAAGAGTACCAGATACATTTCTTCAACAGAATATAAAACATTTCACATTTGGACTGGTAGTGGCTAAGCATTACCTAACATACACTTTCCCTTTAGCTAAACACTAGTGCATAACAGTAGCTTTTATTTCATTTTTCCTTATAATTATTTGTTGTGTGGCAAACCAGAGCCTGTTTTTGTCAGTAAACTACTACTTTAAAATAGGTATGAAGATTTCATCAAACCAGCATTAGGTTGAAATACGTCACTTAAACTAGAACACATTTTTATGTTATACATTAAGCATTGGGAAACTTACAAAGAACTTTTTGCAGCTTGATTTAAGCAAATGTGATTAATGTTTACAGTTTCTCAAACAATAGGAATGTCAAGGGTTTGTTGTAAAAAGGTTGTGGTTAAATGGACATTTTTCTCATAACTGGCTGCAAAAACGTGGTCTTCAAAAGAAGTTTTCAGTAGAAAAAGGATTCTTTATTTCTATAGTACAAATGTGTTTATTCAGGAAAAATTAAAATTTTATATACTGTGTGATGGTTGGAGAGAGAGAATATTAATTGGTTAAAACCAACAGTACACTTTGAAGGGAGTTGTTATATATGTTCCATTTACTTCCTGAAGATGGTAAACATGATGAATATTTTGGTGGTATGAAATGTCAGTTTGGTTTGTTCTGTGTTGGACATGAAGAACTTCTTATTTCTTTAAAAATCAGTTTTATTCCTTTCCAAACAGTCAGTAAAAATAGACTCCCTGATGAAATTAACCTCCCAAGAGAAAATGTCAAAGCTTTCAAAGGAGAATTTAAGGGATTTCTGTAAAGCAAAGGTCAACTGATTTTTATCTGTCAAAAAGGTATTTACTATTGTAGCTCTGTGAACAACATAGACATTCTTAAAATTATCTTTCTTTGGGAGTTAAGCACCTTTGAACTTTCCCACCCAAGACACTTAGTCTAGAATAGAGTATTGTCTGCTAAACAACCTGTTTTGTAGCGGTAGGATGTACACCTGCTCTTCTCCATACCTGTATGTCAGCTTTCTAATGAAATATGATATTCCTTGCTGTATAATTTATGGAATTGCAGTGTTAGTAGTTGTTGAGCAGTAGTTCATACAGCTCGTACTGTGAGCATACTTGAATACTGAAACAGGAAAAGTAGTAACTGGATTTTTTCCAGCCTGATATGTAGAATTGGATATAAATTTACATTAAGATTCCAGAAACTGAAAAGATAAAATAAAACCTGTGAATTTGTTCTATAGAAACACTTTTGAGAATAGTCATGCTCCCCTCTTGAATTGGACATCTGTCTATATATTGATCTTTTTTCTCTGTTATTTCAAAATCACAAAACAAATTAAAACTTTTGTTTTGCGGACCATGTTTTCTGCATTTCCCTTTTCTACTTTGATACTTAAATGTCATTATTCAACATGAATTACTACTTAAGGACAGTCATGCCAATCGTCATTGGCATTGATGGAAGGAAGTCTTTGGGGGAAGTACAACAGAACTGAAGAGTGAATGGACAGGGAATACTCATGACTTCTCACCCCTATTTCTTCCATACTTCATCTGGTTGCTTTGAGAGGCTACTGTCCAGCAAGCAAACCATATGTACACACAAGTGTGCTTTCTCTCTCTCTCTCTCTCTCTCTCTCTCTCTCTCTCTCAGCCTGGGGAAGGTAGTAAAATGGGCTTCTCAGTTGAACCAGGGCTGTTAATGCGCACCATTGTCACAGCTACAACTTATTTTATATTTGATGTTATTTTTCACCTGCCTATTCTGTTATCAGTTGCATTTCCTCAGAAAGAATTGCTTAGTACTTTTCAATTCTAAAAGAGAATTTTGGCTTATGAAGTAGCTTGGATTTAGATCAAAAGTTGTAATGCCTAAGGCCATGCTTACACAGTATTTTTTCATTATGTGAATGTGGGTGAAATCCAGTTTGGTTGGTTATACGCATCCTTGATGGTTGATGTAACCTTAAAGGAGCTAAGTGGATTGGGTGATAGAGTAATGCATTAGTTCATTTACCTCGGGGAGTTCTGTAAACAATATTGTTCAAGCAACAAATGAACTGAGCAGAATTGTTTGAGCTTAATTCTTTTAGGCATGGATCCATACCACAACATTACCACATATAATTTGGCAAAGCATCTTTATGCAACAGAAATCCACAAATGGCTGATCTTAAAAGTGAATTATTCTTTTTTCTTTAGTGTGGGCAGTTTTCAGTATATATATTTCTTACAAACAGATGGTATATTTTGTAGCAGATAAATATAAGATTTCTTTGTACAAGATTTTACTGTATGCAATTCTGCTTGTCTAGGCTAGTTGCATAATGACAATACATATCATTAAGAAAAAGAACAAAGTTTTTTTTGCACAACCTTACACGTGTCTTTACCTATTGTTTAGTCAGCATTTTGTGTCTAGTATGAATAATTCCTGGCTGACCTACACTTACCTCTCTGCTACCAGGGAAAGTTTTTGCTTTCATTTTCTGTGGTAGAAATATACCAGTATTAATGATATTGGCCATGTAAGCCTTCACCTCATTAATTTGAACCAGTATTTTGAGAGTGCAAATGAGGACTTGTGAAGAGCTGTGGAAAGAAGAATGAAATAAACTAACTGGACAACTCCAGTAAATATCAGTAGATTCAGTGGTGCACAGAGTAGGTATTAATTTACCGTATTCACTTAAATTCCAAGACACAATTATTTTCTGCAATCAACATGGGTGGGGGGGCAAGCCTCATCTTCGATTTGAGTACTGGCTGGGGCAGGCAGTTGCTATGAACCCACCTCCAAGCTTGGGGCAAAGCTGAGCTGGAGTCACTGTCTGCCTGGGCCAGAGTGGCTTGTGTAGCAGGAGATGGGGTGTGTGCAGCAGGGCAGCACAGGGGAGACTCTGTGGTGAGGAGTGAGGGTGGTACCTGGGAGAGACTGCATAGTGAGGGGGGAAACCCACAGTGTGCAGCTCAAGGGTATAGCAGGGGAGACTGTACCAGCCAGCCCAGTACCTGACCCTGCCAATTACCTTCTGCCCTGGCCCCCAGTCCTGACCTGGCGTGGCTCTGAGCTGCCACTGCTGCTTCTGCCTGGCTGGGGCAGGGCAGGGACTGGGGCCACTGCCACCGCCTCTGATTATCCTAGAGTCTCTGCAGAAGGTGAGTGGTGGAGGCAGGGAGGCATTGGTAATGGTGGGGCAGGCAGTGGGGAAGTGGCCAGGGGTGCAGGTGGATGTACAGCGGAGTGGCCAAGGGGCAGATCTGTCCCCCACTGCCTCTTCCCTGCTATAATGGTGAGGCGGACAAATTTATGACCCACCCCCCAATAATTAGATTCTATACATGGAAAGTTATAAGAAATGTATAATATTCCAGGTATAGAATTAAGTATTATGGGGTCGCCTCAAATTCAAAGTAATCTTGAGTTCAGGTAAATATGGCAGGTACCATTTCAAGGACCAGCATCCTGTCTAGGTGGTTTTTTATAGCCTTCATTGCTGTAGGATTTGATCTCCTCATATTACTTAAAAAATAATAGTTTTCTCACTCTCTTTCAGCTTTTCCTGACTCCAATGAGCGGTGAAAGATAGTTAGCCTTGTTAGACTGAAGTCAGGCAGATGGCAGGACTGGGGGACACCTTATAGACTAACTTGTTTAGAAAGACTTGGCCTTTCTTAGGCTACAGGCTTCTTCATCAGATGCCACCTCAAGTCAGCCGGCCCTGACAGTTTACACCCCAGGGTACTCAAGGAGCTGGCTAGCATCATAGCTCACCCCCTGTTACGGGTCTTCAAGAACTCTTGGCACTCAGGGGAAGTGCCCAAAGATTGGAAGAAGGCCAATGTGGTACCTATCTTCAAGAAAGGAAGGAAAGTGGATCTGGCAAACTACAGGCCCATCAGCCTGACTTCTATCCCAGGGAAGGTCTTAGAAAAGATTATCAGAGGCCATTCTTAACAGACTGGCCGATGGCAACATCCTGAGGGATAGCCAGCATGGGTTTGTTGCGGGTAGGTCCTGCTTGACCAATCTTATTTCTTTTTACAACCAGGTGACCTATCACCTGGACAAGGGAGAAGAGATTGATGTCATATATGTTGACTTTAAAAAAGCCTTCGCTCTGGTATCCCGTGATCACCTCTTAGTAAAACTGGCTAACTGCGGCCTTGGCCTCATCACGATCCGCTGACTGGGGAATTGGCTCTGTGGTAGGACCCAGAGGGTGATGGTTGATGGAAATCAATTGTCGTGTTGCCCTGTGACCAGTGGGGTGCTCTGTCCTTGGGCCTACACTATTCAACATCTTCATTAATGATGTGGACATTGGTATCAGAAGAAGACTGGCTAAGTTCGCTGATGACACCAAACTCTGGGGTAAAGTGTCCACACTTGAGGACAGGAGGGCAATCCAGGCTGACCGTGACAGGCTCAGGAAATGGGCAGTCGAGAACCTGATGGTGTCTAACACCGAAAAATGCAAAGTTCCCACCTTGGGAAGAAAAACCTGCAGCATTCTTATAGGCTTGGCAGTGCTACGCTGGCTAGCGCTACGGGCGAAAGGGGCTTGGGGGTCATGGTTGACCACAAGATGAACATGAGCCTTCAATGTGATGCTGCAGCTAGTAAAGTGAGCAAAACGCTGGCTTGCATCCATAGCTGCTTCTCAAGCAAATCCCAGGATGTCATTCTCCCGTTGTACCTTGGTGAGGCCGAAGCTGGAGTACTATGTTCAGTTTTGGGCTCCACAATTCAAAAAGGCTATGGAGAAGCTTGAGAGAGTACAGAGAAGAGCCACACGCATGATCGAGGGTCAGGAAGACAGACCTTATGACGAGAGGCTGAGAGCCATGGGACTCTTCAGCCTGGAAAAGCGCAGGCTCAGGGGTGATCTGGTGGCCACCTATAAGTTTATCACGGGTGCTCACCAGGATCTGGGG